GTCTTAATTGCTCCCTTAAAAGCCCTTTTTCTTGTACTTTCTGAAGGACTCCTGAGAGTCACGCACTTTCTGTTGTTTTGACATCTGGGTTTCTTTACATTTCCTCCAAGCTGTCCTCACTGTCTAGAATATTTATGGAAAGATATACTGGAATCGTTTGAGAGCATCTTTCCTTGCATATTGTTCCATCTTTTCTCACTTTTCCTTTGTTCATGAGAAAATCCAATTATTGTGGAAATGATCATGATCTCTGAGCAACAGCAACTATTTTTTTTTTTTAAGATTTTATTTATTTATTCATGAGAGACAGAGAGACAGAGGCAGAGGGAGAAGCAGGCTCCCCACGGAGCAGGGAGCCCGATGCAGGACTCGATCCCAGGACCCTGGGATCATGACCTGAGCGAAGGCAGACGCTTAACCGACTGAGCTACCCAGGCGTCCCCAGGAACTATTTTCACATACCTCTTGCCAGGAAAGGGAACCAATCTCAGAAAGAGAAAGACAATAGAAGAAAGATTGCCTGGACGATTATTTAGCACTCACTGGGTATGACCTTACAAATTATTTAATTCCTTTGAGCCTCAGTCTCCTCTTCTACAGTGGAGATGATAATGTGTCCCATAGTGGGTTGTTTTGGTGCTTAAAAGGGGTAAGGATATAAAGTGCTTTACCTGGTGTTTGGCCTACAGTAGGCACTTAATTAGTTAGGATCCCCCCCTCCCCCCCCCTTTTTTTTAAAAGATTTTATTTATTTGAGAGAGAGAAAGCACGTGTGTATGTGTGCATGCTGCATGCGCTCTAGAGTGAGGTGGGGGTTGCGGGGAGGGGCAGAGGGACAGGGAGAGAGAATCTCAAGCAGATTCCCTGCTGAGCATTGGGCTCCATCCCATGACTCTGAGATCGAGACCTGAGCCAAAATCAAGAATTGGACACTCAGCTGACTGAGCCACCCAGGCACCCCTCCCTTTTCTTTTAATGTACCTTTCCTCCCTCCCTCCCCTCTTTTCCACAGATATTTATTAAACTCCTCCTGACGCATTGCCAGGCATTGCTAATGGATACAACAGTGAGTCAAACAAAGTACCTGTCATCAAGGAGCACACATTTCAGCATCTACTCCTCCGTAAGATGCAGTAATCACCAGGGACTAGAAGACAGAACATATAAAGCAGTCTTCCAGCACAACACTAAAAAGGCAACCCAATTAAAAAATGGGCAAAGGATTTGACTATTACTGTTCAAATATGAATGGCCAATAAACACATGAAAAGATGCTTCACGTCATTAGTCACCAGGGAATTGGAAAAGCGCAATGAGGAGGGACATCACACCCAGTAGGATAACTATAACCTAAAACACAGACAGTAGAAATCAGATTTGGAGAAATCAGAGAATCCGTATACAGTTATTAGGAATGTAAAGTGGTGCAGCCAATTTGGAAAACAGTCTGGCATTTCCTTAAAATGCTAAATATGAATTACCACATGACCCAGCATTTCTCCTGGATATCTAGCCAAGAGCAGTGAAAACATATGTCCATATAAAACCTTATACATGAATATTCACAGAGCATTGTTCATAATAACCAAAATGACGCCCAGGTGTCCATCAGCCGATGAATGGACAAAATGTGGGATATCCATAAAATGGAATATTATTTGGCAATAAAAAGGAATGGAGCATGGATACATGCTACAGCATGGATGAACCTTGGACACATTACGCCGAGTAAAAGAAGCCAGTTACAAAGGACTGTATTGTATGATCTCATTTATATTCAGTGTCCCAGACTGGCAAATCTGTAGAGACAGATTAGTGGTTGCCTGGGGTGGAAGAGCCAGAGATGAGTGAAGGTAACTGCTAATAGCTTTGGGGTTTCTATCTTTTTTTTCTTTTTAGTAAGATTTTATTTATTTATTTGACAGAGACAGCGAGAGAAGGAACACAAGCAGGGGGAGTGGGAGAGGGAGAAGCAGGCCTCCCGCTAAGCAGGGAGCCCAATGTGGCTTGATTCCAGGACCCTGGGATCATGACCTGAGCTGAAGGCAGACGCTTAACGACTGAGTCACGCAGGCACCCCTCTATGGGGTTTCTTTTTGGGATGATGAAAATGCCCAAATTATTTTACGGTGATAGTTGTACAATTCTTCTTTTTTTTTTTTTTTAAGTAAATTATGTGCCCAGCATGGGGCTTGAACTCATGACTCCATGATCAGGAGTTGCATACTCCACCGACTTCATACTCCACAGCCAGCCAGGCACCCTGTTACAATTCTAAATATACTAAAAACCATGGGTTGTACATTTTAAATGGCTGAACCTTACGGTTTATAGATTTTATCCCAGTATAGCTGTTAAGAAGTGCACGGAGCGCCTGGGTGGCTCAGATGGTTAAACGTCTGCCTTCAGCTCAGGTCATGATCCCAGAGTCCTGGGATCGAGCCCCACGTCAGGCTCCTGGCTTAGTGGGGAGCCTGCTTCTCCCTCTCCCTCTCCCCCTGCTCATGTTTTCTCTCTATCTCTGTGTCTCAAATGAATAAATAAAATCTTAAAAAAAAAAAAGTGCAGTTACCCTTCTGTCTCCTAACTTCATGTCACTGGTGCTCTGGCCTCATCCTAGAACAAAACAGGACAACCTCTAAACCCTTCCTGGGGCCCCTTTGCTGCCACCATTCACCATGGCTTTTTTCTTTCCTTCACAGTTAAGACTCCTAAAAGGTTAGGAAATAAGTAATTTAGAAAAAGTTCATTCCAGAGGAGTTAGAAATTAATGGATAGGGCGCCTGGGTGGCTCAGTTGGTTAAGCAACTGCCTTCGGCTCAGGTCATGATCCTGGAGTCCCGGGGTCGAGTCCCATATTGGGCTCCTTGCTTAGCGGGAGGTCTCCTTCTCCCTCTGATCCTCCCCCCTCTCATGTGCTCTCTCTCTCTCATTCTCTCTCTCAAATAAATAAATAAAATCTTAAAAAAAAAAGATTAATGGATAAGCAGAAGGAGGAAAAATTTTGGACATTTAATCTCACCACCCAGAGATAATCATTATTAACATTTTGTGTCATTTTAGCGTTAGCAAAGTTGACACCTCATGTTTTTATTTTCAAAGAAGAGTACTGCTATAAGGAAAGGCTAATGTTAAGTTACTAAGAACAGAATATTTTTTGAAGAAAAATGTCTAATCTTCTGTAACGATATTAAACGTGGAGGGCTTTTGTGCATGATTTGATTTTTCAGCTTTTCGGAATTGTCTGCGTCAAATTTGAGGTCATTCAATCCTAGTGCTTTGGAAACCATTCCTGCTCCTTAGAGTGTGATGGAATCGTGAAGCCACGATTGCTTTTTAAGCCACACTTGTTGCAGGGCTTTTGCTTAAGCTGCAGTCTGATTGCACAAGAGGATTTCAGTCTTAAATATTTTAGAGTGTGAGAAAGCCCCATGCCCTATGAAATAAAAATCTCATGGATTCCCTTTGGCTTCTTCGGACTCTCTGGCTGACACTGGCTGTGAATTAGGATGTCAGCTGATAAGATGGATTTCCTGCTTTTGAAATCACATTGAACCGATTTCATTGATCTTTTTTTTCCCCCTTTGCTTGTGCAGAATTAGATTGGCTGAGCAACCCGAGCTTTTGTGTCGGAGCCATAAGCTCTCTGAGCCAACAACCTGAAGAGGCTGCCGCTCTGGTTTCTGAAGGGTCACCGCTGACGAGGTAGCTTTTCTGGAAGATGATTTTTAGTTTTTGTCTGTGTGTTGTCTATTGCTGGGTTCGAATAATGCTCCTTAGAAAACCCTGTGATAAAAGAGCGAATTGCAACTCTTCTTTCTACTCAAACTAATGAGGTGCTCTTTGTTGTCCCTTACCTCACGCATAGATTATTCCTCCTTTCCCCCTGTGCATTTGGTAATGGGAAGTGCGCTAATAACGAGGCCGCGAGGGAAACGGCACCGTGTGATTGTTGAGTCAGTTGAATAACCTCGTCAGTAACCTTTAGAATATTATAACCCTGATGTTCCCTCAGTTGCATTTTCACCATTTTTGGAAAAACAGAAGCTGGTGTGATATAACATCAGATAAAATCTCATGAAAACTTTGAGGACAGCAGAATGGCGCACATCTGTACCAAGCTTTGAAAGAAATTATGGTAGAGCATCGAACTGAGAAGTGAGCCCTCTCGCATTTGTGGACTAGGTGGTCTCATTAAGATGAGGAGCCCTGAGAAGGCAGTCCTCCGAAAGTGCAGGAAACCTTTGGAAATGGACGCTGGTTGGTGCCTGAGAGAGAGTTGTCTGTAGGTATTTCAGTAATGCAGAAGGGCTCATCATAACCTTTAAAAACAAGGACCAGAATTAAACCTTTTTTTTTTTTTTTGTCATTAAGGACATGCTGCCCTAATATGTGGGACTGAAAATAAACCCTTGGGCGCCTGGGTGGCTCAGTTGGTTAAGCGACTGCCTTCAGCTCAGGTCATGATCCTGGAGTCCTTGGATCAAGTCCCGCATCGGGCTCCCTGCTCGGCAGGGAGCCTGCTTCTTCTCCCTCTGACCCTCCCCCCTCTCATGTGCTCTCTCTCATTCTCTCTCAAATAAATAAATAAAATCTTTAAAATAAATAAATAAATAAATAAATAAACCCTTTATAATATTGCTTCAGAAAATACTATATTTGATAAAATAACTGGTAGATTATTTTCATTTGAAAATGTGCAGATGTGAAAGTCTAGATTTAGAAGCTATTACAATTAGAATTTCTTCACCTACTGTTGTTTTAGGTCCAACTCTTTTTTTTTTTTTTTTTTTTTCTTTCCTTTTCTGGGTGGTGGGTCCAGCTCTTAAATCCTTAAGGGGAGTTGTGATCCGGGAAGGCACTATATCAATATATGGGCAAATAGTAAGGCCCTGTGGGCATTTCTGGAGTTCCCTTTTACACATTTGTTTGCTTATTTTCATAGTCTTCTCCCTACTTCTCATCTGAAAATAATTCTAATGTTGATTTTCCCAAAACAGGAGTCCTCTGAAATCAGAGCCTTCAGATGAAAGTGATGCTAACGGAAAGCCCAAACAAACAAGCAGAAAAAAGAAGAAAGAGAAGAAGAAGAGGAGGAAACGTCACCACAAGAAAACCAAGAGAAAACGTGGGCAGGCCAGTAGCAGTGGCTCCGAGCCGGATAGTGAGCCTGAAGAGGACAAAACTTCCAGAAGCCCTGGAGATAGTAGAAGGGAATCGGAGAAACCCAGGTGGGTCTTCTATTCTCAAATACCTATGACTTTTCGAATTTTGAATTTTTTTCCCTCAGTTGTTGCCACAAGTGAGGTATTTGAATGACTATTTAGCCACTCAGTCAAGTGGAGTCCAAAAAAAAGACCCGAATAGAGCTCTACCATTAGGTCAACATTAAAAAAAAAAAAAGGAAGAAGAAAACTTTCATTAAAAAAATTAAGGCTGTGATTTCATTTGAGAAATGTTATTTAGACACAGTAATGATTGTGTCAGAATCTGATTCAGACAAAAAGTCTTTGGGATTTTGAAAGATGGCCGATGTACCACGCCATGGGAATATGGGCCAGTTTACTACATAGTTAAGGGTCCCGTCTGTGAGGGTCAGAGGAAGAGGCATGTCTTACTCCTCTTCCATAGTCTCCCTTTTCCATCACTTGCATCAGCTCCCCCCCCGCCCCCCACATTGGACACACACTCTTTGGTTAAGGGCGGTATAGCACTTAGAGTCATCATTTCCTACCTCACATTTCTTTCCAGCATGGTATGGAAGGTGTGGACTGGCCCATGAACACAGTATTTCCTTTCCTGGGGGCTTTGCTTCTCCCCACATTTTGCTCCGCTGTCTCCCTTGAGCCTGTTGCTCCCATCGTTGGCTCGCTGGTAGCCTCCCCTCTGCCTCGTGTCCTCTGCTCCCCCACGGGGGGCCCTTCTCCCAGGCCTGCGACAGGCGGCACGTGCTGGAACTACCTCAGTCGTTTCTCATTTCACTTTTTTCTTTTCTTTGTTCATATGGGCCAGAAGAGAGAAGGTTGAAGTCCCCGTGCCAGGCATACTTGAAAAATTTAGGGCTATTAGGATTTTTTTTTTGACTCTTCAGGCATTATTTGCTTTTGTCGTATGCTTAGACATCCCACTGACATCCGTGAGAGCTCTGTCGTGCAGTGAGTCTGGAATCTGACCCACGGAGTCTCCATCAGACAGGCGGACCCTGAGTCCTCCTGGATCCTTCTGCCACCAGATCCGTGGAGAGCCTCGCAGGCCGCTGTGGCTCAGGGCATCCAGGTTGAATCAGTCGTCTCTGTGCCTAGGTGCTCCATCTGTAACCCAGGCTTGCTCTAGAAGAGGAGAATAAAAAGGTTCTGACTTTGGCCGAGTTCATGTGGGCAGGAATCACTCCTGTCTCGCTTGCCCTTGTAACCCCTCAGTGGCTGGCACAGGGCCTCATGCCCGGTAAGCACTCAGTACATTTCTGTTGTGTGAATGAATGAATACATTATTGATATTTTTGCTTTTCGGTATGTCTTCAAAGCACCATACATTAATCATTGTTTCTTCTGGAAACTCACTGTTAGCTTCTTGTCCATTTTTTTTTAAAGTTGAGGAAAATGAGTTTTAAAGGATTTTCTGAACCTACACAGGAACTACCATTAGAACTTGGAAGGTAGTTATTTTCAGCCTATGCGTAATCACATCAGAGGTGAGCTTTAGAGCCTCTTGATGGTTCTGTGATCCAGATAGCATTTTTAAGTTCATTGATATTTTTCAGAATATCCCCGTTAAGATCAAAATCTACTCTTTTTGTTCTTCTCTTTTACTTTCTTACTATGAACTTCTGTAGTCTCTTCCTGGGAAGATGACCTGGAGGAACTGTTTCCATAGAGACAAGGACTAAGGTATTAGTGAGTTGTGAGACTTCTGTAATGTCGGGAAAGTGGGTTCTTGGGGATATAATGCACCATATAGGAACTCTATTTTTGGGTGATCGAGGGACGACTTCCCCTAAGGCTACAGCTTCTCAGGGACCTCTGTCTCCTAGGGTGAGCTCTTCACCTTCAGGTGGAGGCAGATCCTTCCTTGTGCACAGCCCAGACCACATCCTGCTTCCTGACCTCAGTACCCAATAGGAGAGGATCAGAGCTTGTTTATTCCCTAGGGGTGGTCCGCTTCTTCCTCCCTCCCCCATGGGCTTTCCATTTCTTTCTGGAATGCATCCATCTCATTCCTTCCGTTTGCTGCCCCTTACGGTGTTTGTCAACAGAAAACCCTCCATAGATATTCTGAAGGGGAATGTGTTAAAAATCACCATGTATTTTTTTTTTTTAAAGATTTTTTATTTATTTATTTGAGAGAGAGAATGAGAGAGAGAAAGCACATGAGAGGGGGGAGGGTCAGAGGGAGAAGCAGACTCCCCGCTGAGCAGGGAGCCCGATGCGGGACTCAATCCCGGGACTCCAGGATCATGACCTGAGCCGAAGGCAGTGGCTTAACCAACTGAGCCACCCAGGCGCCCAAAAATCACCATGTATTTTAACCTATTCAGCAAACACTTGATTGAAAGCTACTTTGTGTACCTGAAATGCCATTCCTCTGTATTCCCAGCCAAGGATGATTTATTTGTTTTATTTTATTTATTTATTTATTTTTTTAAGATTTTATTTCTTTATTTTGACAGAGACACAGCGAGAGAGGGAACACAAGCAGAGGGAGTGGACAAGGGAGAAGCAGGCTTCCCGCTGAGCAGGGAGCTCGATGTGGGGCTCGATCCCAGGACCCTGGGATCATGACCTGAGCCGAAGGCAGACGCTTAACCGACTGAGCCAGCCAGGTGCCCCACCAAGGATGATTTAGAAGCCGTTAGAATCTTTATTTCTATCTGGGCAGAGTCAAAAGCAAAGATAGAACAAGGTTAAGGGCTGTTTTGACTACTTTGGCAGCTTCTTGTGTCAGCAGCATGATGAACTGATTTTCTTTAGAGGAGGGAAGATGTTAGATGCCAGAAACATTCCCTCCCCCTCTCGTTTGACTCCTAGGGAAGTGGTTCCATTTGTGTCTCAGCTGGAAGTCTGCCAACTCTCAGGTTGGTTCAGAGGGATAAGTAAGGGTCTGGTCTCACAGTGGCTCTCTCCGGCCTTGGTGTAAGAGAGAAGGTCCGTCCACAGAGCCCGGGCTATAAAAACAAGACTTAGACCAAGTCTGAATAATATGTGAGACCGACCCATTTGGAACTATCATGTTGCTGTTGTTAAGTTTTGAGTTGGAATAATCTGAGCACTTTCTAATGAGTTAGGCTAAGCAAGGGCAACCCACTTTATTTTTAAAGAAAACCTGTTTATAAATATATTTGAAATTCTAGTTACAGTCATTTAATGGAATGTTTAAAAAGAACACCTAGGGACGCCTGGGTGGCTCAGTCGCTTAAGCATCCAACTCTTGATTTCAGCTCAGGTCATGATCTCAGGGTCATGGGATCGAGCTCTGGGCTCTGTGCTCAGCGGGGTGTCGGCTTCTCTCCTTCTCCCTCTCCCTCTGCTCCTCCCCATGTGCTAATCTCTCTCTCCCCCCCCCCCCACTCCCTGTCTCTAACTTAAATAAGTAAATCTTTAAAAAAATAAATAAAAAATAAAAACTCTTGTGTCAGGTTAATTTCTGAGATAAGGTGATTTCTTGGTAAAGTGCCACTTAGCGTGGACAGTTTTTGCTTCATATTTTAAGGCTTTTTCCACAGCAGGAATCCTCTTCGTCTGTGGCACGTGCACATTTGACATACTTGGGTGTGTTTGATGCTGTGTGGAGCATCAGTGTTGAAATATTTAACTTTCATTGTTCTGAAAAGGTGGACGATGTAACTAGAAGATTTCAAAGTGCCTCTCCCTCTTTGTTCTTCACCTTCCTGTGTCCCACAGTCAAGAAGGTAATGCTGCCGCTGATATTGGGCATCGCTTTGTTTGGCTTGAGGACGTTCAGGCTCTGACTGGAGAAACCTTCAGAACAGATAAGAAACCGGATCCGGCCAACTGGGAGTATAAGTCTCTCTACCGAGGAGACATAGCAAGGTACCCGTCACGATGTCTTTCCTGATTTTCACTGGTGGGATGTAACTTCTTTTTCCCCCGAACCCTCTCTGCGCGGTCTCTGTCTGCCCCCCCGCACCCCCCCCCCCCCGCCGCCCTTCTGGATTCTGGTGGGTGTCCTCCATCGCTGAGCTGTTGAGGCATGTGTTTTATCTCACACTCTGGAGTGAAAATTCAAACCTTGAAGTCAGGATCCAGGTCTGAAGAGTCTCATTTATCCGTGGTGACTGGCATCGTGCCGGGCGTAGTAGGTTTTTAGTAAATATTTGTTGAATGAATGAATCTAAAAAATACCTTGAAGTAAGTAATTGTGACGAACTATCCAGAAACCATTTGGTCTGATCTGTATGTCATTTTAAAAAGTCACGAAAGCTTTTTATTCATCTATCCCCCAAGTAAGCCATTTTAAAAGTGACATTATGTGGTAATGACTTTTTCAAGATGCTTCCAGCATATGTCACCAGATAAAAAAGAGACGATGGTATTCACTTCAGTAGTCAGTTTATTAAACTTTTCTCCTCTACCTTGTCAATCAAAAATATTTAAGTACTTATTAAATCCCTTAGGCACTGAGTAGTTTGTAAGACACTGCTGGGAACACAAAACAGTAATACACAATCTCTCTTCCCAGACAGCTTACAGGTAATGAAAATTGAAGGTAGAGAATATTGGAACGTAAAGCCAAGAGGAGACACCATTATCATTCTTTATAGGCTAATTACTTTTTTAAATAAATTTCGGTTTCCATTACATTGTTGTGCCTCCATATTTTAATTGTCATTCATCACGACATTATACCTCACCACATAGGCAATTCCAACTAAGATTTCCTTTATGATGTGTTTATATCTGTGATTTTTCAGTGCATATTTATATCTACATGCTGTCTCCTAAAACCTTATGGCTGAGAGTAAATGACTGTCAAAATGTTTTCATACCTTTTTGAATAATTTTAATACTCCTTAAAGTCTTGTTCAGTTCCCCATGGCCCCGCGGTGTGGAGCCACAGACGTGGTAGGACCCAGGACAAGATGGGGAGGCCAGCAAACGCTGATTGAGCCCATGGTTGTTAGCCTGTGTGATCCTCACATCTGCTCTGTGAGGGGAACCATACTCTTCTTTTATGAATGAGGAAAAGGAACCTCAGAGAGGGTAAGTAGCCTCTCAAGATCATGCTGCCAGGAAGCAGCTTTCTTGGGGAACCTATGTTCCTCTAACCTCAAGTATTCTTTTCCTGTCCACAAATACAGATGAGCTTGGTTGTGTGGTAGGATGTTTTCTACATTGGGAAACGGAGGACCCTGGTTCTCATTCTCACTTGGCCACTGACTGATAATGTAATCCCACGTGAGTCACTAACCCTGTCTGAGCCTCTGTTTCTTCATTTGTTAACTCCTGCTATGCTGCACACTCAGATATCAGACGTCATCGATAGAAATTAGACATTAGTTTGCACAGATAAAGGGTTATTACTTATTAATAGATGAAAAAGGAAAAATATTCACAATGACTGGCTCTTAAATCTCTGCTAATGAGAGGCCCAGACCTTAGGAGGAGAGTAATGAGAGAAGTTTACTAATCTAAATTGTGAAGATGCTATTGGAAGGGCGTGGGGCATTGGTGTGATTTCCCAGTAGATTCCTGAAGCTTAGGTGAGCTAAGTCTTACCCGGATTAATAGCTGTACCACTGTCAGTGTCCAGATCTAGGGAAGTATTGATCCCATGGCACTGTGAGTTGGTCAGAGGACAGGGGCGTGTTTTGTCAGGTCGTGAATTTTCACACTTCACCAGGGGCACTGACAAACCAGGAGTGTTGAGAGGACTCGGCTGGCACCATCCTGTGCGGACCAGATGAGGCCTTGTGGGTATGGGCCTGGAACAGCAATATGGTCAGAGTCTTCTACGCTTCAGTGGACCATCTTTTGGAAGGTAGATTGGCAATGTTCTGTGTAACTCGGGAAGGCAGAACCAGGATCAACGAGTGGAAGTTGCAGAAAGGAGATGTGACTCAGTATCAAAGCAAATTTTCTCATTGTGTGAGCCTCCCAGCAGTGACCTGGTATGCGTTTGTGTATTGTGGTGAGCAGGGCTTAGAGTTCGTGGGTAAGAGTCAAAACTACCTTTGGAAAATTCCTTAGGGCTAATATACTAGTTCTCCGTGACGTTCAGCTCCATTTTTTCTCCGTTCATGGAGTGGATTGTTTCTTTAACTATACACCAGATGAAATAGTTGGCTGATGTTTAGGAGCCAAGTCTTACAAAATAGTAGTAACTTTAACTTATCTAGTGCTTACTATATGGCTAAGGACTTGAAATCTATAAGCTTTTTGATCATCCCTGCTATTCTCTGACATGGGGACCATTATTATCCCCATTTCACAGATGAGGAAACTGAGGTACAGACAGGTTGTGGGGTTTTGTTTTAAATAACTTGTTCAGGGTCACCTAGTTAGTAAATGATGGGGTTGGAATTTGGACCCAGGTAGACTGCCACCATGAGAGCATGTGTGAATTGAAGTCACTGAAGGAAAGGCAAATTTATTATTGCCCAGCTCACTCTGGAGCTTAGAGCTGCTGAGTGGATTCAGGGCAGAAGTGTGTGCTCAATTTAAATATATTCTTTTCCCATATCCTATCCCTCTTTCTTTTCTTTCCCCCTTTCCCATCCCTTCCCTTTTCCTGTAGCTAAATTCATGTAAATTAAATGTCCATATGGTGTCATTCACTGAACCTCCAAAGTGGGGTTCCCTCCTTCTGGAATTATTCAGGTAAGACCAGCTGACTATTTGATAAAGATTTTACAGAAAAAAATGCCTTCATGTGGGGGAATATTGCATTAAATTACATCCTAGGTTCTATGATTAAAGTTATGTAATAAATGATAAATTAGATAAAACCAAAATGTCCAATTAAGGTTCTATGATAGATGATAAATTAGATAAAACTCAAATGTCCAACAATAGAGAAATGTTAACTAGATGAGGGTTTACCCCTCCAATGGATTGATTCAAAACCAATAAAAATGGTATTTTCTAAAAAGAATGGTATGGGGAAATGCACAGAGGTAGGGAGAAAAGCCTGGAGCTGTATATCAACTATTTTTAAAAAGAGGTGTGTGTACACATATAAACACATGTACACACATATCTGAAAGTAGGCATTTAATAATACAGATCAGTAAGACTCTTTTCCTCCTTTATCGTTTTCATCTGTTATAAAATGCAGCTATTAAAATCAGCTTTAGAAAATGCATTTGTAAAGTCAGAAAACTGTAAACATTTTTAAGAGATTATGTGAATGTTAAAATACTGTTGATTTTTAGCAAAAATAAAATAAAAATAAAATAGTAATTAAGGGGAGAACAAAACGAGTTCTACTTACAGTTTGTTCCTGACAGAACGATGGGTGTGTTTAGAACTCTTGAAGTACTATTTTATCTCCTCACCCCTCGTTACAGTTTGTTTTGACATTCCTAAAGGTACCGGAGACAGATTGTTGTGAGTTAACCTAGGAGGGCCTGGGGGAGAGGATGGAGAGGAAGGGTTTGTGTGCATGTGAGAGCTGGGAGGGCGGTTTCTCAGGCACCTGTTGACTGTGGGGAAGCCACGGAGGTGCTGGGCCTGGACCAGGTGGAGGTGGACACAGAACTTTCTGGAAGATGACAGAAGATTGTGGCTGCTCTCTCCTTTTTTTTCCCTGACAGCATGATATTATGGAAATTTTAAAAATACAGCATCATTTGAAAGAATTTTACAGTGAACGCTCCTATTCCCACCCTCTGTGTTCTACCATTAATATTTTACTGCGCCTGCCTTATCACATATCTGTCTGTCCTTCAGCCCATCTTATTATTTTGGTGCCAGCCTCCATGTACTGCCCCCTAAATACTTCAGCATGCATGTCATTAACTGCAGTTCAAGATTTGTTTAGTTTTTTCTTCGGACTTAAAATTCACATACAGTGTAACACAAATCTTCAATTGCTGAGTTTGGACACATGCATACACCTGTATAATCCAGCCCTCTGTGAACATATAGAACATCCCTGTAACCCCTCCTCCCCCCAAATTTCCTCCTGCTCTCTTCCATTCAGTCCCCACCCCACCTCCCCAGGGGCAGTTACCGTCCTAATTTTTTTCCATCCTCAATTAGTGTTGTCTCTTCTAGAATTCCATATAAATGGAATCATACAGTACGTACGCTTTTGGGCCTGGCTTCTTTCACTCAGTGTAATGTGTTCGACATCCAGCGCCATTGTGGCGTTTGTCAGGAGTTTGTTCTCACTGCTGGTCGCCTTCCGTTGTGTGGCCATACCGTGGCTTGTTTATCTGTTCTCCTAGTGATGAGCACCTGGGCTCTTCGTGGCATTCGGCTGCTGAGAATATCTGTGCACGTGTCTTTGTGTAGAAAGGCAGTTTCCTTTTTCTTGGGGGAATGCCTAAAATAGAATTGCCAGGTCACAGGGTAAGTCTAACTGCCAGACCTTTCCCCAGAGTGACTGTACCAGTTTCCATTCTCACTAACAGCATGTGAGAGTCCTGGTTCCCCAGCGGATAGCTCACTGGTGTTCAGTGTCTTCGGTGTTTAATTTTAGCCGTTCTGGTGGTATGTGGCATAGCTCCTTGCGGTTTTAATTTGCACTTCCCTCATGATTAATGATGGTGAGCATTTCTGTATGCGCCAGTTGGCCCTTCATGGCGTCTTTTGTGAATTCCGTGCGGATCCTTTGCCCATTCTTTAACTGGTTGCTTGTGTAACACGCCTACAGAAGAGTGCACGGTTTCCCTCAGACTTCATGCACAGATTCAGTAGTCGTGAGTGTTATTCTGGGGCACCTGCACACACCATACAGGCCTTTTGGAACCCAGCCTCTCTCCCTCTAGAGTAGAAAACAGCCAAGTGTAATTTTAATTATTTTGTTTCAGGATTAAAAATACAATCTTAACCCTCCCCGTTTTCTTCTTACGTGGGGACACAGGACTATATTGAGGAAAAGGTTCCGGTGTAGGAGACAGATGACTCAGTCACGCAAGGTTCTGGTGTCTTTACGAAGAGTGTAAAGGAGGGGATGGGGATTTCCACCTTGTCTGTTACGTAGGATCATGATGATCAGTGACATAATGTATGGGGCAGACTTTACAAAACTCCAGGAAAATAGAAATTACTAGAAATTACTAGATCTGGAAGACAGGCCTGATCTTAAATTCATGCGATGTTAACAAAGAATGGAAGTGTTTAGAGGAATAAGTTCCACACAGAAAAAGTTGATTGCTAATTGTCGTATTTCTCTAAATAGAAACTGTTGGAAAGTAAGGTGAAGTTAGCTTGCTTCACAAGAGCTCAGCCCGCTGAGCGAGCCTCCACTGGTGCAGAGCTATGACCTGTTCCCTCAGTAACTGTCTTTCTTTTTCTAATACAAGATACAAGAGGAAAGGAGACTCCTGCCTTGGCATTAACCCTAAGAAGCAGTGTATATCCTGGGAGAGGGCTGCCGCAGAAAAGAAGCCTTCACACAAGCGTGTTGAGCGCTATTTTACGAAGAAGAGCGTGGGCTTAATGAACATGGACGGAGTTGCCGTTGGCAGTAAAACCGAACCTCCCTCGTCTGAGCCGATCTCGTTTATCCCCGTGAAGGGCTCGGATGATGTGGTTCCTCCCGTTACGACCTGGTTGAACCCTCTGGGGATTTACGATCCGTCCACCGCGCAGTGGTTACAAGGACAGGGCCCTCCAGAGCAAGAACCAAAGCAGCCAGACTCCCAGACAGACAGAGAGCGCGCGCTGCTCAAGGCCAAGGTGGAGGAGTTCAACAGGAGAGTGCGGGAGAACCCTCACGATATTCAGCTGTGGATGGCGTTCGTTGCTTTTCAGGTAAGGAGCGCCGTCCCGCTTCTCTTACTTAGACTTAGTCTGGGGCAAACCAGTGCGCCCCGCAGCCGCTTCTGAGCCCCTGGAGGAACCGGGGCCCCGGGCGTGGAAGTTTATTACCCTGGAGCCCTTGCCCTGAGCTTGCTTCCAGCCCGTGAGGAACCCCACGTGTGGGGAGTCAGGGCTTCCATGTGGAATTCGGGGGTGGGAGGCGGCAGGGGAGCATGAAAGGGCTCCTAAAAGAAGGTGAAATTTAAACAGAATCTGGGAAGAAGCGCCCCTGTTCACCCGGGGTTGGGGGGGAGGGGAGTGCAGGGTGCAGAATGCGCAGAATTGGGCAAGAGAAGGCGCTGCTCCGGCGACGACCCAGCTGGGGCTCCGGCTGCGTCCTGCTTGCTTGTTTTTGAGCCGCTCGTACAGGTGTATTTTGCCGCACACCTGCCTGTGTCGTGCGTAAAGTGGGCTCTTGAGAAGCCGCGCTCAGGGCGCTGCGTGCCCGCCCCCGTTACGTAACTCCCGTAACTCCCGTAACTCCCGTAACTCCCGTAACTCCCGTAACTCCCGTAACTCCCGTAACTCCCGTAACTCCCGTAACTCCCTTGCCGGAGCGCAGACGGCGGGGTGAGGGAAACGCGAGCAAACAGGCGCCCCAGGAACGGAGCTCCAGCCAGAAAAAGCGGTGACTAGCAAGCCCAGGAGGTCCGAAGGGCGACTGGTCCTGGGAGGCGCCGGAGGGCGGGCCTTGCAAGGAGCTCTGGGGCCGTGGCGGGCTTTTGAGGCTCCCCGACTTGCGGTTGAGAATTGACGTTTTTTGTTTTTTGGTTTTTTTTTTCATTCATCAAGTCAGTGTTTTTTTAATTTTTTTTAAAAGATTTTATTTATTTATTTGACAGAGAGAGACACAGCGAGAGAGGGAACACAAGCAGGGGGAGTGGGAGAGGGAGAAGCAGGCTTCCCGCCGAGCAGGGAGCCCGATGCGGGGCTCGATCCCAGGACCTGGGATCATGACCTGAGCCGAAGGCAGACGCTTAATGACTGAGCCACCCAGGCGCCCCTCAAGTCAGTGTTTTACTTGGTAAACATGTCTGAGACCATGCATCCCTGGCTGCTAAGCACCATGGCGGACAGGGCTAGAAAGGTAACAGCTTTATTTTGAGCAGGGGGCAAAGACAAGGCAGCACTTTACAGTTATGAATTGACGTTTTTGTCTTGAGGACGAGGTCGTGCGGAGCCCCGGCCTGTATGCCCTGGAGGCAGGGGAGCAGGAGAAGCGGAAGAGGTCTGCGAAGCTGGTGCTGGAGAAGCAGCTGGCTGTCCTGGAGCGGGCCATCGAGAGCAACCAGAGCTCCGTGGAGCTGCAGCTGGCCCGGCTGAAGCTGTGCGCCGAGTTCTGGGAGCCCTCGGCGCTGCTCAGGGAGTGGCAGAAACTGATCTTTGTGCACCCCAACAGTACGGCCCTCTGGCAGAAGTACCTTTTATTTTGCCAAAGCCAGTTCAGCACCTTCACCGTGTCGAAGATCCACGGTCTTTACGGCAAATGCTTGAGCACTCTGTCCGCGGTGCAGGACGGCAGCATCCTGTCGCACCCCGCCCTGCCCGGCACCGAGGAGGCCGTGTTCGGTAAGAGGCCGAGCACCAGGTCCCTGCGTGTCGGGGGACTTACGCTTTCTTCTGGCGCTAGGCAGAAATGAAGGCGTGTTTCTGGTTTATTTTAGAAACGGCCAAATTGATACAACGGAATTAAACAAAGTATTAGGACCCCTTTGGACTAGACCAGATTCTCGCTTCTCCACCTTCTTGGTGGGGGTGTGGAGCGGGCATCAGAGCCGGTGAAGTTAGCAGAGTATCCCCGGCCCAGAAGTCCCAGCTTTTCTGCTTATTAGCCAAGGAAACACAGTCAAGTCTTGGCTGTTGTGGCTGTCCATGGCCTTCCCTGTCCAGGTGTCTGTCTGCTCCTCTCACCCGTCCTGGGATCTCAGGCGGTGGTGGTCGTGGGGATCAGCACACAGAGGCAGTTATCAGTATTATACTGTTCATGTTCTGTGTCCCGAAGGAGCTAGAATATGAACTCTGTCCGGTAATGAGGTACAGAAGGCAGCATGTCACACAGGAGCTGGAGAATATCACTCTGGACTTGAAGCCTGGATTTGCCCTTCACTGGTTCTCTTGTGACCTTGCATATTTCCTTAATCTGCTTGAGCTGCAGTTTCTCGCTCAGCAGCAATGATACAATACTTGCTTTATAGGGTCATCGAGCACGTTAACGGAGATTGACCCATGGTGAGTCTGGCTCCGTGTCTGGCACACAGCAGGTGTTTATTTGATCAAAACTTTGCTATTTCATTTCTTTTCTTTCTTTTTTTAAAGATTTTATTTATTTGGAGAGAGCGAGAAAGAGGGAGAGCGTAAGCAGGGGGAGGGTCAGAGGGAGAAGCAGGCTGTCCGCTGAGCCCGATCCGGGGCTCAATCCCAGGACCCTGGGATCATGACCTGAGCCGAAGGCAGATGCTTAACTGACTGAGCCACCCAGGCGCCCCTGTATTTAACTTTTAGATTAGATTCTAATTCATTCATATTTATATTTATATTCTAAAGATATAAATATATTGCTCTAGAATTAATAAGCATTTACAACACTGGCATAAAGAGTCTCATATTTGATATCATTTGTGGTATGCGCAAATAGCCTAGTGTTACTCAGAACATGAAACTACCACAATTCAGACAAACCGAAATTTTCATAGATGGAACTTTGATTTGTTTTCAGTGGTCTCTGAACACATGATGAAGATGGATCGCCATCTAGTGATCCATCGAGCACAGATCTTTGCTCTCTGATGAAAATCTATACCATCCTTCTAGAATTTTTCTTGTAATAATGAGCTTTGAGTATCTGGTAACTATTCAGAACAACCTCTTGCCTTACTTTTTTTTAAGATTTTGTTTATTTAAGAGAGAGCATGAGAGGGGGGAAGGATCAGAGAGAGAAGCATACTCCCCGCTGAGCACGGAGCCCGATGTGGGACTTGATCCTGGGACTCCAGGATCATGACCTGAGCCAAAGGCAGTCCACCTAATCGACTGAGCTACCCAGGCGCCCCGTTCTCTTGCCTTACTTTTATGCAGCATATATAGTTTTTGTTAATATTTGTATTCCACAGTGGTTTCATATAAAAATTGGAATAAATGTACTTTGATTACAGTTCTGTGGTGAGTCCTTTTAATGAGAACACGTAATTAGTACAGCTTTTGAGAAGATCACAGGAACTAATTTCGGAGAAAAGATGTTCTCGGTGTTGAGACGCATGTTGTTAGAAGTTATGTTCTTTCCCTTGAATTGATGTTAACCAGGATTCTCCCTCTTGCTCTCCCTGCTTTCAGCTCTCTTTCTTCAGCACTGTCACTTCCTGCGGCAGGCCGGTCACTCTGAGAAGGCGATCTCGCTCTTCCAGGCCATGGTGGACTTCACCTTCTTCAAGCCAGACAGCGTGAAAGACCTGCCTACCAAAGGACAGGTGCGGGTTTAGTTGTGAGACCGGCCTCTCCCCTCCTTCTCTCCCCTCTCCTTCTCTTCCCGTCCCTCTCTCCCCACCCCTCTTTCCCCCTCCCTTTCTCCTTCTCTGTCTTCTGGGGGCAAGTGTGGATAATGGGAAGCGGTGGTAGTATTTTTAAAATCCTATCCTCTTTGTATCAGTCCTGCTGAGAACTGTTGCTCAGAATATGCTGGTGATCCAAGGAAAATTCCATAATGAAGGTAGTGAAACTTGGAGAGATGAAAGATCTACTCCCCCCAATATGAAGACTCAACTATGTCCCCCGCCTTTCTTTTCTTACTTATGGGACTTGTTTCAGTGCTAATTGTCCCCGCCAGGCAGAGAAACAGGGGTCATGCCTCTTAGAGCACGTCTCACTGTCTCCTCCCTCTGTGCATTCTAAGCTGGGTCTTAGGTTGTTTTTCCAGTTCGCATTTCCACTACGTGAGATCTTTGCGGGAATTACAAACGATAGCGCATGTTGGCACTTTCTCAACACTGATCCTAATTGGGGAGGTGTCATTTAGATGACAAGTGAACATTGGCCGTATTTGTGATATCAAGCAATAAAAAAAAAATCTCATCATAGAGCTACCCATATAAGAAAGCCGCCTTCTCCATTTTTCCTTAGAAGAAATCTCCATTTCCGACTTTGCAAAGGGGGTCTGGTGGAAGATGGATAGGGTATCTGAATTTATAGTGAACTGACAGAGGTCTCGGGAGGCTAAGATCTCCATCTTGTGGAATGTTCCTGAATTGCCTTTAAAGACTATTTTTTTCATCATTATTTTTATCTATTTTTTTCCTAGACAAAATTGGGTTAACGAATATTGGTTAATATTAGTTACCTGATTAGTAGTATCCCAAGCCAGATAAAATTATTTTAAGATCTGGTGTGCTGTCTTAAGAATATGCCATGCGACGGAAGTGAATCTTGGTGGACTGCGGGGCCCTGGCTGTGTGGTTGCCGGGTCAGGGTCAGAATGGCCCTCATCCCCGCCCTTTGCTGACGATCACAGACCGTGATGAGAGCAGTTCCTCTCGGGGAGGGCAGTGCCCGGGACTGTGAAGCATGAGGAGCCACTCCCCTCAAGTGTCAGCAGAGCCTGCTGTGTGCTCTTGAGGTTTTCAATACTAACAGCACACGTAGTTTCAAAGCATTTACAAGACAATTTTGAAATAAAGTTTTATCTTTCAGGATATTCCATATCTTTAAAACTGAGAGACATTGTTATAAGACACAGTAGTACAGCATGAAAGAAGCAGAGTCTGGTCTGTGCTTTTTTTTTTTTTTTAAGATTTCATTTATTTGACAGAGCTCATGAGAAGGGGGAGTGGCAGAGGGAGAAGCAGGCTCCCTGCTCAATCCCAGGATCCTGGGATCATGACCTGAGCCAGACGCAGACGCATAACCAGCTGAGCCACCCAGGCGCCCCTTGGTCTGTGTTTCTATGGAATATAAATAAATTGGTGTAACTTTCACACTTTAAAAAAACCACACTTCTTTTTCTTGAGTGCGCTTTCTTCTATCCCTCTTGTAAGAGCAAGACTGCGAAGAGGGAGTGTGGTCTTTCCAGCTCCCCTACCTGAGGTGGCTGCTGGGCACTCGGTACAGGGCCCGTGTCCAGACCACTGCCCTGCTCTGCCCTGCCCTCCCAGGGCTCTCCTGCACGTGGCCCTCTTGCAGGCGTGCGTGGCACCGCCCTGGGCTCAGGCTGGACTGTCCTGCGCCTCCTGGTCCACAGCTTGTCCCTGGAAGCCTCGTCCTCTTCTGAAGGTTTCTTAAAAAGCTTTCCTTGAGCAAGTGGTTGGCTCACTTTTAAAGTCCTTATTGTTGAGGCGCCTGGGTGGCTCGGTTAAGTGCCTGCCTTCGGCTCAGGTCGTGATCCCAGGGTCCTGGGATCGAGTCCTGTATTGGGCTCCCGCTTCTCCCTCTCCCTCTCCCTCTGCCTGCCGCTCCCCCTGCTTGTGCTTTCTCTCTGTCAAATAAATAAATAAAATATTCTTAAAAAAGAATTAAAAGAGCTAAAAAAATAAATCCGTACTGTCAGGTGATAACACGATTGCTTTTCTGTTCATTGCTGTGTTCACATCCTCCTCTCCAGGGAGTTACTTACTGCACTGAACTGGTGACCACACACAGCAGACCTAATGCCCAAATGCATGAGAGCAGAGGTGTGATCACAGGGCCGGGCTTTAACACACAGACCTTTTTATTCACCGGCTGTGCCAGCAAGTGTTTATTGAGTCCCTACTAGGTACTGGGCACTGTGCCAGATTTTAGGAACACAGAGTTGATGCCCTCAATAATTCCCAGTCCTATTGAAACTTTGAATCCCTTTCTCTTGGAAGGTCTTGAAAGTGACATGATTTCAGGTATTCAGGGGCCCCGTGGCTTTAGGGGAACGGGCTGTGTCCCTGTCCCCAGTTAGACTGGCCTACCAGGGTCAGAGCTGGGAAAATTCCTCTCCCACCCGGCTGGAGGCCCTTCTCGCTGACTGTGGCCGGTCTTTCTGTAACAGACTCTCAGAAGTGGTAGCCGGTCACACTTTACTGTGTCTGTCTGTTACAGGTCACTAGGCCCAGCCCACACTCAGGGGTGTGAATGCCACAAGGCACTGGTAGGGTCACGGGGGGCTATCTTGGAGGCCGCCTACCACACTAGCTCATTATTTTTTCTGTTTTGGGGTGTATCCTGTATCTACTGGAAAGACTGATGGCAAACAAGATTTCAACCACAAGCCCCTCTTATGCCAATTAGAGGGCACTTTGCTCAGTGACTCAGCAGTTTTGTACAAGTTAGGCTCACCTCTGTATTTTGAACCTGAACAGGTGGAATTCTTTGAGCCCTTCTGGGACAGCGGGGAGCCCCGGGCTGGGGAGAAGGGCGCCCGAGGCTGGAGAGCCTGGATGCACCAGCAGGAGCGAGGCGGCTGGGTGGTCATCAGTCCAGGTAAGGCACCTCTCTTTAGGATGCGTACGCCTTTGCCTTCTTCTGGAATGTGTTTTCACATCTTTCTGATTATTTGTTTATATGTAGAAGCTCTTTTGTCTCCGTCTTTAAGAACACTGTAGAAACATCAAAATGTCAGAAATATGTGAAGTGGATGCGTTGGGAGATTATAGAGTCTCTCACCCTTAGAGTCAACCCCCCAACCCTGTGGAGGGTTTGAGTTTCTGTCCAGAGGAAGTTTCATTTTTCCTTTTACAAGGTTGCTCCTCCCTACGAGTCCTCCCCTCCCACCCTTTCTAGTGTGTCCTTAGGACAGTCTCTCTGTTTTCTTGGCAGTGTACAGACCATCAGATCCTTTGAAGCATTCCTCCCTGTTAAGAATACTATAAAGTAACTGTTAATTAGCATTTATGTAGCTGTCATTCTGAATGACCCCAAAGTATTTTCTGGATTTACAGCCCAAGACAGCGCTGTCCAATAGAAACATAATTCAAGCCACAAAAGTAACTTCATATTTTCTCGTCGCCACGTTAAAAAAGTAAGATGATGAGGGCGCCTGGGTGGCTCAGTCGGTTAAGTGACTGCCTTCGGCTCAGGTCGTGATCCTGGAGTCCCGGGATCGAGTCCCACATCGGGCTCCCTGCTCGGCAGGGAGCCTGCTTCTCCCTCTGACCCTCCCCCTCTCATGTGCTCTCTGTCTCTCTCATTCTCTCTGTCTCAAATAAATAAATAAAAAAAATCTTAAAAAAAAAAAAAAGTAAGATGATGAAAGTAACATTGATGATATATTTTGTGTGACCCAGTGTGTCAAAACCTTAATATTTCAATGTGTAACTCTTAAAAAAATTGAGATATTTTGCATTTTATTTTTCACACGAACTCTTTGAAATCTGGGGTGTATTTTACACTTCCCAGCACGTTTCACTTCAGGCTAGCCGCTTTCAGGTGCCCCGTAGCCACATGGGCGTGGCTGCCATCTTGGCCGGCACAGCTCCCAGCTCCTCAGGGATTGCTTCTCCCCCTGGTTTTGTTGAAAGTGCGAGGGGGAGAGAGGCCCAGGCTTGGCTAGCCTCTTCTCAAAGACGTGTCACATTCCTGGGCCTTGGTTTCTTCAGGGAATGAAAACTATGGATTAGCTCCCATCTCTGTGGTGTCGCGACACTCCAGGCTAGGTGGTGTCTCTGGCCCTTTGGGTGTTGGGAGGACTTTTTCTCTGGGCAGCGCCAGCAGGGATGCTCACTCCTCAGTTGGCTCGGCTATTGTGACTTTCTTGGAGTGTTCTCTCCCAGAAAGAACTGGAATCATTCTCAGGCTAACCAGTGGTTTCGTATATGAAGAAAAATAACTTGCAAGGCAGAGTGGGGAGTAGGTATTACCCTTTTAGCCACTGAATTTGCAAGACCACACGAAGAACCAAAAAATGAAGTGTTTTTTCTTTTTTTTTTTTTAAGAGAGAGTATGAGCTGGCGGGGGGGCGGGGAGGGAGGGCCAGAGGGAGAGAATCTCAAGCAGATTCCATGTTGAGCATAGAGCCCGATGCGGAGCTCAGTCCCACAAACTGAGATCACAACCCGAGCTGAAATCAAGAGTCAGACATTCAACCAACCGAGCCACCCAGACGCCCCCAGAAGTCTTTTTAGTAGTGACTTTTCTTTGAGTACCAACTCAGGGTGGTTCTCTGTTTTTAGGGTTTTTTTTTGTTTGTTTGCTTTAATGAGCAAGACTCCTAGAGTGCATAGAATTTATGTTCTAAAGTTCATCATGTTCTGCATTTCTATGAGACTAAAGCAGAATTCTCACAGCAGTGTCCCGGGGATGCCGTTGCCAGAAACTAGTTGATAACTACTGTTTTTTTTTTTTTTTTATTTTTAAGTTTTCTTGTCCCATCTCGATAAGGTTGGTATTTAGAGAGTAGTTGGTATTTATCATTGATACTGAGGTGTTTCTTTTTCATATATTACTACTTACTTCTCTCTCACCCTCACTTTCTGTTGGTCTGTATTGTTATATTTATATGTGTCTTCCCAAAACCACGTCATCTTTTGAATTTCTAATGTAATAAATTCAGATGTCTAAGCTGGATGTGTGACTCAAGGGGGAAATTTATAAGAAACTGCCCACCTGTTTTATGGGGTAGCCGTACCATTTTATATACCCTGTTTGTTTATTTTTAAATATTGAACTTTACAGAAGACTCAAGACTTTTCTCCTCTTCTGCATGTTCAGTGTTAGGAAACAAAGTGAAAGTACAGGATATCGTGAATTGACTTTTTTTGAGAAGTGAACACAGGTTGTGATCATATGGCCACTGGTGAAAATCCTGATGGCTTTAGGAAACCTAAACCAGTACTGTTACTAAGTGTCATTTAGCGTTCTGGAACTGGAACTGTGTTGTCCAGTACCGTAGGCATTAGCCACATGTGGCCATTTTGATTAAATTAAGATGAAACAAAGTAAAAAATGGAGTTCTGCTGCCGGCTACATTTCAGGTGCCCACTGAGTCACATGGGGCTGGTTGCTACCATGTTACGCAGAAGGTATATGTTATGTCATCATCGTAGAAGGTTCTGTTGGACAGTGCTGTTCTAGAATATGTGTGTTCCTATTTTAATTGCTATGATACCATTAAAAATCATCTGATTCCACTGGCTAACCTGCCAGGGCTTTTTGGGAACCTGACTGGTGATAGGAGAGTCCCTCAGTGCTTCCAAGTCCCTGAACGTTCCAGAAGGCCGGGCCTGGCTCTTACTTGTCTTGGCCCTCCAGAGGCCCACCACAGAAGCTGGTGTCGCAGACTGGTTGGGCATCCGTGGTGGGTTTATTTGCTGATGAGGTGAGATAAAAGTTTTGCTCTCGTCTAGATGATGATGATGACGAACCAGAAGACGAGGACCAGGAAATAAGAGATAAGAGTCTGCCCAGGTGGCAGATCTGGCTCGCCGCCGAGCGGTCCCGAGACCAGAGGCACTGGCGGCCGTGGCGCCCTGATAAGACCAAGAAGCAAACTGAAGAAGACTGTGAGGACCCAGAGAGACAGGCGAGTGTCCCCCCCTGGGAGGGAGGCCAGCCATGGGGTCCTCCCCTTCTCCGCACTGCCGCGGGCTTTGCTCACCTGCAGGAAGCTTGCTGAGCGCCCGGGGCACTTGCCTGGCTTGGGACAGGTTAGCCTGCTCCCGTCCCTGTCTCTGGAAGCCTCACCGGCCACCGCTGCTGTGGGAGTGTGGAGGAACCTGACCGCATAGTTCCCGTCCCACAGTTGGAGGGAAGGCCCCTCCAGAGATGGTCTTCCAGTCACTCAGTTAATTTTTCACATGGAAGCCTGACGCCTCAGGGTTTTCAAGACGTGGTGTCCCTGTCCTAGGTTATTTAGCTCTGTCTGTCCGCTCTCCCCGCCGCACGCTGCGTCCTCAGAGACATGGCTGTTTGGAGGACGGGGACTGCATAGCGAGGCCGCGCTGGGACAGTCCGTACACAGCTGGTGTTGCTGGGGAAGCCGCTCACGTTTCTGGAGCCGCTCTTGTGTGCCCCGCACTTGGGTTGTCTCGTTGACTATCCTGGAAGGACGTGGCCCGTGCTACACCCTGTCTCGTGGCCAGCAGCTCTGGACGTTCTACGTTAAAATGAAGGAAGAGATTCTATTTGGAGCCTGAAATGGACCCAGTTTCCTAAGACCCCAGCCGTACTGCTTGGCATGTGACGCACTCTAGGGACAGACCGGCAGGTGTTTGCGATCGCGAGGCTCCCCAGCTGAGGCCTGGTCGGTTGTCTACGACCCTCCTTGCGATTTACGTGTCCCGAGGGTGGGGATTTTGCTGGATCACCAGGGCACGGACAGTGCTTTTCTTGTGCTCAGTTAGTGTTCCTGGATGTTGAATGACTGTTCAATGCTGGGTCTTCTGCTCCAGGCACGGGGATCAGCACGCGTGCCCGGAATGTTTGAGGAGTGGCAAATGGGGTTAGGACACAGGGAATTGGGGCGCTCTGGGCGGGAAGAAGGGGCCGACGCCAGGGAAACCGCCGCTCAGCTCTGGGATGTTTGGTGCGTGGCCTGCCGCGAGGCGAGTCTACACAGGACGTCCCTTTCCCGGCTGGCGCTGCGTGCGTTGGGAAGAGCAGGGTCTTCGGTATTCGAGGGTTTCACACCATTCAGGGTCACCTCTTCAGAAGCTGGTTCTCGAGGCTCAGAGTTGCGGCGGTTTTCTGGAAGCTCGTTTCTGGAGCAAACTTCTGCTGTGAGCAGTTCCTTGTCACTTAGCTTTTTCTCTAATCAGCGCCTGGAGGAGAAAAGCTTTCTGATGAATTGACCATTCTGAGGAGTCTGAGCCCAGGGAGTCCAGTTTTACTGTGCTCACGCTTCGGTTTCCTCTTTGCTGGGAGCCTCGGAGACCAAGCAGGTCGGCAGTGCCCTGAGACAGAGGCCAGTCTCTGTGGCCTTACGCTTTAAAGTGACTGCATGAAATCAGCTACGGACATGTACAGTCAGCATCATGTCTTAGAATTGCTCTTACCACGGCCTATGGATGATAGTGTCCTTCCTCCCTTGCTGCTGTTTATCTACCTTTGAGCATATTTTTCATTTCTGAAAGCAATTTTATATGAAGAAACCACCAAATAATAGAATTCTATTTTTTTTTTAAAGATTTACTTATTATTTTTAGAGAAGGAGGGAAGGGTGGAGGGGGAGAGAGAGAATCTCAAGCAGACTGCTGAGCACAGAGCCTGATGCGGGGCTCGATCTCACAACCTGAGATCAGGACCTGAGCCGAAACCAAGAGTCCGATGCTCTGCCGACTGTGCCACCCAGGTGCCCCCAAATAATAAAATTCTTATCTTCTATCTTAATAAACAGTTTTGATGATTGTAATTTATCAAAGTAACTACAAAAGCAATTGTGTGCTGTCAGAAGGGAATACGATCCTAGATTTTCTGTGAATCCGCTAGGCTCCTTTGGAAGGTTTGGCTTAAGCCCGCTCATGGCCCTCCCTCCTCCTGAGGGTGCTCGGGCAGCGTGAGAATGCCACCAGCTCCCGCCAGCTCTCCAGTACCTGGCGAGGCCTCTAGCTTTTTTGCATCTTGCAGGAAAGCTAGCTCTTGTCTGTTCAGAATTTAATTGGAACGGTGTTGAATCGTTAGCACATCCACATAAAAGGAGCCGTGGGGAAAGTCACGAAGCCTTGTCGCTTGTCTGTCGCGGTGAACAAACCGCGCTCCCAAGCGGGCCACCTCACCGTGTCTCCGTTACAGGTGCTGTTCGATGACATTGCGCAGTCTCTGATCCAGCTCTCCAGCCGGGATCTTCAGTTTCAGCTGGTCGCGGCCTTTCTGCAGTTCCTGGGCGTGCCTTCTGGCCTCAGCCCCCCGGCCTCCTGCCTCTACCTGGCCATGGACGAGGACAGCATCTTCGATAACGGGCTTCATGATGAAAAGCCATTGACTTTTCTCGACCTGTCCTTTTCCGGCGTCAGCTGTGTTGGCCGCTCAGACCCACTGGGCTGCCGTCGCTGGACCCGCGGGCACAATCGAGAGGGCGAGGAGTTCATCCGTAACATCTTTCACCTTGTGATGCCTCTGTTTTCAGGCCAGGAGAGGTCTCAGCTCTGCTTTTCCTGGCTACGGTACGAGATGGCGAAGGTAACTCCGGCCTCCCCCGCCCTGTGTGGGGGCTTCAGAAACGATTGCGGGGCTCTTGGTGTTCCTCAAGCGCTGGGCTTTGTCACCTCCTTGTTCAGGGACCCCCAAGGCCCCAGTATGTGGCTGCCCCACTGAGGGGCTGGGAGGGCAGGAGGAAAGTGGGGGGTGCGCAGCTCGTCAGTGACTGGAGCTGTTTTTTGTGTTCGCTCTTCTGTCAGGTGTCTGAGATTAGACAAGCAGTTAGTGTGAAGAACCAAGCTTAAGCAGGGGTTGGGGGATTTCGGGGTTTATTAAAAGATAAAATAAGCTACTTACCCTGCTCTTTGCATCGATCTGTGAGAAATTCCTCTAGGATGGACTCTTCTGCCCTCCGCTGGCCACCAGGTAGTATTGACTGTAACGCCCAGAGCTCTGTGCTTGAACTACCCAGATTGCACACACCAGGATGTATTATGAAAATAGTGTGCGAGGAATTTCGGTGGCCCCCGTCTCACTGGAGAAGGCTGCTTGGAGCAGACGAACCTTGTTTTCCGAGGTTTCCGGTGGGAACCTGGATGCGGTCGTTTGGGGGCGCCAGTGGCCTTGGTTCAATCCTGATTTGTTGTCCAGCTCAGAGAGCCTAAGTGTTTAGCAACCATGTGATGAAGGAAGTGTAGACGCCCGTGTGGCTTTCTGAAGTGCACAGTACAAAGGGATTGCTTGAAAATCACACAGCACTTACTTGGGAGTCCTTTTCTTTTTACTTCCAGGTCGTTTGGTGTCTGCACACTAAAAACAAGAAGAGGTTAAAGTCACAAGGAAAGAACTGCAAAAAACTTGCCAAAAACCTCCTGAAGGAGCCAGAAAACCGCAACAACTTTTGCCTCTGGAAGCAGTACGCACATCTGGAGTGGTTGCTCGGCAACACCGAGGACGCCAGGAAGGTGTTCGACAGGGCGCTCAGCCTGGCGGGGGGCGGAGAGCCGCGGGGCTGCGAGCCCTGGGAGCTCGGCCTGCTCTACGCGGGGCTGGAGCTGGAGCTGGAGCTGGAGCTGGAGCTGTCGCCGGCCGCGAGAGGGGCCGCCACGGCCCGAGCCGTCCACATACTGACCGGGCTGGCGGAGAATGGTCCCTACGCGCCCTACTCCGGGCCGGTCTCGGCTGTTCACGTTTTGAAGGCCCGGAAGGCTTACGAACACGCGCTGCAGGACTGTCGGGGGCAGAGCCGTGGCGCTGGGCCGCCTCCCGCCGACGCCTCTCACCGCCTCACCGGCCTGCTCAGGTGCTTCATGCTCTTCCAGTACTTGACCGTGGGGATCGAAGCCGCTGTGCGGATCTACGAGCAGGCGTGTGCGCAGCTGCAGGGCTCCGTCTCCGCGGGCGGCTGTGGGCCGGACGAGCCCGGCTGCGCGCAGAGCCCGGGCCGCGGCCTCGAGGCCGTCGCGCTGATGCACACGAGCCTGCTGCGGTTCCACGCGAGGGTCAGCGTGTGCCCCGTGGCTCCTCTGCAGCAGGCGCTCTCGGACGCCTTACGGTGGTACCCCGGCAGCCAGGTTCTGTGGCGGGCCTACGTACAGCTTCAGAGTAAGTCCCACACGGCCAGTAAGACCAGAAGGTTCTTCGATGCCATTACCAGGTCTGCCAAACCCTTGGAGCCGTGGTTGTTTGCGATTGAAGCCGAGAAAACGAGGAAGAGGCTGGTGGAAACCGTTCAGAGGTAAGTGCGGTCGCGCGTGGGTCCGCAGGGCCCTGCTGTGCTGGCCGCGACCGCGGTGCCCGGCGGAGCAGCTGCGGTAACTGCACCGCGGGCGCGAGCGGGGGCTCCGGGCGGGACTGCGGGTTCAGGCCCCAGCTCTCCCCGGCCCGGCTGCGTGGCCTCGGGCACGTCCCGTCCCCTCGAGACCGCCTCCTGTGAGGGCTGCTCGGCAGGGCCGGGCCGGGAAGTGCTGAGCACAGAGCGCAGACGGAAGGAATGCCTGGCCCCTGGTCTCACTCCCGGTGAGGACGCCATCGCGCGCCCCGTGTCGTCTCGATGCGGTGCGTGTGTCCTCCCAGGAGCGCTTCGGCGGTGGTTCGCTCTGGCCTCGTGTCAGCTGACGCCTCAGAGCCGCCTCTGAAGAGTGTTTCACTTTGTTTTTTATTTCTTCCACTGGGATCTTACTCACACTACATCCCCTGAATTGAAAGGACTTCCCCTCAGGTAGCATTTGCATTCTGCTCAGCAAAGGGGGGCTTGGTTCTAGAAAGCGGAGACGCAGGGAGGTTGTGTGTGAGTTCTAGGCAGACTCTGGCGTAGAGAACACAGAACCCTGGGCGCTGCCTTCTTCTGGCCTTGGAGGGGCCCCTCGTGTCTGCAGTCTCGCCCCCAGCGCCGCCAGACCTGGGGCACGGCACCGTCCCCGACATGCTGATCCTGCCGGAGCTGACGTTTGCTGTCGCTAGCGCGTCTTCGGTCTCAGCCACGTGAGCCTTGTCTTGCAGGGTGGATGGCAGAGAGGTCCACGCCACAATTCCCGAGACCGGCTTGACGCATCGGATCGAAGCCCTGTTTGAAAATGCTTTGCGGAGCGACAACGGCAGCCAGTGCCCCTTACTGTGGAGAATGTATTTGAACTTTCTGGTAAGAAAACGTTTCGAGTGTTCGTTTTCCTGCCGAGCCTCTGCTGCTTCCTCACAGGGGAGAACGTGCAGGTGTCTAGTAGCCACGTCCCAGGAAAACTGGCAGGGGCTTACTTTTCCCCCCACACCTTCTCGGCCTCGATGAATCCTTCTGAGAACCCTGGTGGAATCATGTCAGGTCTCTCTGGACTTGGGAGGGGGACGCAGGTTGCATCGCTCCTCAGCGCTTTGGTCGAGTGAAAGGAAGAATCACTGGGCTGTTGGCAGCAGAACTTAATGTGGCTCTCTCGGAGGTGACTTCCTTGAGCCAACAACTTGGAAATGGCCTAAGAGCTTTCATTGGAAAGAGACCTTCATTCTCTGCTCTCTGTTCATAAGAATTCCCAGGTTCTGATTCTGTTCCGTCATTGAAGGTAGGACTCACCGTAGAATGTAGCTTAGACAAGAGGCCTCTCCAGAGCAGCTTTGTTTTCACGTAGAAGTACCCATAGTTAGCAACTGAACATGGGGAGATGCCGTTTGATCGTGTTCATGTGCGTGTGGGGCTGAAAGGCGCTTCTTGGGCCTCGCAGAGTCTGTGAGGTGACTTTGCCTTTGGTTAAGGACCTGGCGTTGAGATGCCTCATTTCCTGGAATACATCTGCCAAGTTGTGTGGTTTTTCAGAAATGTAGTCTCCTGGGCCACTTGAGTGTTTCAGCTGAAGGCTACTAAATCACACCCAAGTGATCTCTAATGAATATTGTACCTTTTAGAGGCCAGGAGTGACCTTCCTTATCTCTCTGATTATTTCCACTGGATAAATTCTCAAGGCAGTCAAAGTATTTGAACTTTTCCTATCAGCACACGACAGAGTTGGGTATAAACAGATGTGGAGAACGTAAGTTACGGGCTAGGAGAGCTTTGGGCCTTCCCCACCTGAGATTTCGGAAGTCATCTTGGTGTGCCTCCCCTGAGCTCTAAGATGCCCGATGGCAGGGGGGACGCCGCATGTCAGGACAGCAGCTTCCTGGCACACCCAGGACAAGGAGGCGCGTCCTTGCGGGCAGAAGTTGACATCAGGATGAACCAACCCAAAAGTCTGTGTGGTTTGTTTTTATGTAAGATTTTATTTGACAGCGAGCACAAGCAGGGAAGTGGCAGGCAGAGGGAGAGGGAGAAGCAGGCTCCCCGCTGAGCAGGGCTCGATCCCAGGACCCTGGGATCACAACCCGAACTGAAGGCAGACGCTTAACCTACTGAGCCACCCAGGCGCCCCAAAAGTTTGTGTGTTTTTTTTTAACATTTATTCGTCAGACCCAAAAGCTCAGGTTTTATGTTTTGGCGCCCATGTGTGAAACGGAAACCTTCAGAAATCCAGATGGCATGTGCACGGCGCATTCGTGGCTGCTGCCTGTTAATCGGGGTGGGGGTGCAGCTTAGGCAGACCGCGGTCCGGAGAACGGGCTTCCCGTTGCATCGCCGCTCCTGGGTGGGACCACTCAGCTGGAGGAGCAGGTGAGGTGCTCCCTCAAATTTCCAATGCCGATACTGTGTGAGTCTTTGTAAGCAAGTGAAGGACCTTGAAATGTGAAAAGGGAGGGCTTGCAGACTTGCCAGTTTAACTTCCCCTGTTGTGGGTAGAGATGGTTAGGGCAAAGATGGACTTAGGGTATTTTTACAAAGAATCTTCCTGAGCCACATTTGGTTGGATTGTAGAAAAATTCTCTTTGACTTGGAAGAGAAGATTGAGGCCCTTAAGGAATTTCTGTTTTTCTGGAAAGGGTAGCATTGAACCAAGGACGAGTTTGAGCGCGACTTCTCCTGCAGCTTCTGAGGCATCTGGGTTGGCTCCCGAGGCTTTGATAACCCCGTGAAAAAGTCCACTTAGGGCCAGAATGCAAGGTGAGGAGAGGGCCGGGGGGAGCCGGCTCCGCGGAGGAGAGCTGGTGCTTTGGTTGTGTGGACGTGTGCGCATGTGTAGATCTACATGCACGGAAGCCTGTTTGCGCACTTTTTTCCTGCAAAAGTGGCGGAGGGATTACAGCTGCTTGTTGGCCACGGAGCACGTGGGACAAGGACGGGGTTGGCCAGTGAACACTGCCCACTAATGCTGGAACTCTGCTTGAAACCTCTGCTGCGGGGGTGCTTTCAAGTGCGCCGTTCTCCCTGCACGTAAACACGGTCTGCCAAACCTTGTTCTGTTGTTTTGGCTAATATTGCAGTTCTTTTCTTTTTTTCTCTCTCTTTTTTTTAAAGATTATTTATCTGAGAGCGAGCACAAGCAGGGGCAGCAGCAGGCAGAGGCAGAGGGAGAAGCAGGCTTCCCGCCGAGCAGGGAGCCCGACGCGGGGCTCGATCCCAGGACCCTGGGATCATGACCTGAGCCAAAGGCAGACGCTCCAGCGACGGAGCCAGCCGGGCGCCCCGAATTGCAGTGCTTTTCAAGATTGTGAGAGTTCTTTAGTTTGGTCATCCGGCTACACAATCAGGAAAGGAAGGACAGTGTATGAAACGTTAGCTGGTGAAATAGTCTTACGAACGGAAGGAGCCGTGGCCCCTCTGTAGTCCCCGACTTGTTTTACCCTCCAGCATCATTTCTTCTTCCCCCGTGTTGGCAGCGGGCGGAGGTCAGGCTGCATCGAAAGGCCAGAGCTTAGAAGAGCCGGTGGGAGGGCGAAGAGTCGTTTTCGGTTCACTCTGCTGGTCATGGGGACGTAAGCCTCCTCCCGGGAGCACTCCAGGTGTTGTGGAAACATAGTTTTTTGTTTGGGTTGGGTATCAGTTGGGTCAAGTTACTTTAAAAAAATTGTATTCACTAACAGCTGCTCAGATTTGTCTACAACCAGATAAGAAAAAATCAAATTTTACCAAAGCCCCTCAGGCGTTTCCCTTTCCCCCCATGCTGCCTCCGCCGGCTGGGGGTGGCCCGCGCCAGCTAGGAGGGTACACAGGGGCCGAAGAGGCGACCCCTCGCTCGCGCACTTGCTGTCCTGGAGGGGCAGCGGCCCCCGCACACAGCCCTCTTGCTCTCCAGGCTCGGGCCTGGGGGGCGGGCCCACAGGGCTTTCCAAGGACTTGTGTCCTCCGGTCGCCAGGGTCCTGTTGGCCGGGTCCCTCCTGGGGTGTGTGTGAGGTTCCCTCCCGGACTAAAGTGGCTTCTTTGTAAGACCCTGGCACCCCTTCACTCTGCAGACCAGTTGGCCTTACGGGGAGAGCGGCCCCTGCGCTCTGCTCTTCCCTGGCTGCGTCCCCTTCGGTTCTGTGCTCACCCCGTCCTGACGCTGTGGGGTCGCGCAGCGTGTGGGAGTCGCCCGTCGCTCTTGCCTCAGCCTGGACTTAGGAATGGTACTAGAAGGCACGGATTGTCAGGACGAGGGAACTTAGAGGGTGAGGATGGACGCAGAGAGCCAGGGCAGCTTGTCTTCCCAGGGGAGGCTCTGCTCTCGGGAGAGGCTGATGGTGGCTACTGGGCTGGGTCTCAGAATATGAGATCCCGCAAGGAGACAGCCAAGAGTCAGCACGGCGCTGTCGCCTGGCATTGAGCCCCCCATACCCGGTAGCCTAGGTGTTCTCCAGTGGCTGATGAAGGGAATCGCAGAGAGCAGTGTTCACTGGAGTCTAGCCAACCGATGGACCTGAATTTGCTGGGTTCCAGGGTTATCAGTGAGCCTCACAAATACAGGGCTTGAGAATGGACAGTAGTACCATTTTTCCTTCTTTCAAGAACAAGGAAACCGTGTCCTAAGTTTATGAGAGGATATTGAAGTATTCTGGTGTGTGAAGGAAGGACAGCTCACACTGTTCCTTGCGTATGAATTCAGAGAGGTCCAGCTTCGGAAGGGCTGGAGGGGAGGGAAGACAGGAGTCCCCTGGGCTCTGCGGCTGGCTCAGGGGGTGGCTGTAGCCCGAAGTTAGTCCCTGTTTCTGTGAGAGTTAACCTGAAGGAACTGCAAAGGAAGGGAGGCCATCTTTGGTGGACAGAGCGCCTGAGCCACAGGCTGGAGTCTCTAGATGCATCCCTCAGGTTTTGGGGGTCAGTCTCGTGCCAGATGCCATGTGCTGGCCATCCGGTGGGAAGAGCCAGCGGCCACTAGAAGGCTCTCCATGTGGGAATGGGAGCGTGGAGGAGGTGGGTGGGAGAAAGCCCAGAAACAGACTTGAGCTCCATGAATCTGGCTTGTGCCCACTCAGAGCTGCAGGTGTCTGCCGGCCTGGGGAGCGGCCTGCTGGGCTGTGGTGCCTTCGAGGAGCCGCTGAGCGACAGATCCCTTCCTGGGACCGGGACACGCCCGGGGCCGGGGGTGGTGGGGAGGACACGTGCCCTTTCCATGCCCACTGGAAACTGGAGCAGTGTGTCTAGGGCTTGGGACTAAGGACATTGTACTCGGAGAGAGAACATGCTGTATATCTGCGCGCTCTCAGGCTGAAATTCCTGACCAGAAGTCTTTTTATTAATAAGGTTCTGATTCAGTGATGCCAGTTAGCTCATTCCTCTAAGATCTTAGAAAACGGCAAGCGTTAAAGCAGACATTTTGTATGTGTAGTCATCAGCCTCGTCGTGCACACACGGCCTCGTTCTGGGTGCCATTCTGACGCAAGGCATGATGGCCCCTATGAAGCAGGTGGACCAGTCTGAAGTCAGAGAGCCTGGTCCCCTCTGGGTCCATCGGTGCAGGGGAAAAGCCACGCAGCAGTGGCCCCGAGAGCGCCCCCGCCCAGTGGCGTCCGCTGAGCCCCCTCGTGGATCAGGACAGGGTGGGCAGGCTGGATTCTGTGGCCTCAGGCTCTGCTTCAATTAATCCTCTTTGTAATTCTCGCCCTCTTTGTAATTCTCGCCCTGTCTCTGCCTCAGGTCTCCTTGGGAAACAAAGAAAGGAGCAAAGGCGTGTTCTACAAAGCACTTCAGAATTGTCCTTGGGCAAAGGTAAGTCCCAGAGACCGTGAGATCTGCACAACAAGCCCAAGGCCCTTCCTGCCTCGGTGCCCACCCCTCCGTGTCACTGGCGACTGGGCACTTCCCGGACCATTTCATAGGGAACCTGTCCGCCGTGGAGCCTCGGCTGATGGGCGTGTGTCCACTCCCTGCACTGGGGCTGGTGTTTCAGGGGGGCCTTGCTGCAGGCAGGGGGTTTCCATCATCTGCCAGAGTTCAGCCCAGGTGCTCACACTGGGGGGGCCTGTGGCCCAAGTCTGCCTTGGCAAGCCCGGTCAGGCGGCGTTCAGAAATGGGGACTGTCCTGTCCACCAAGTCCTGCCCCACTTTAGAAAGAGAAGGCCTCGTTCGTGTCCCTCTGGAAGCAGGTGCCGGGGCGCTGCCGAGTCCGGACGGCGCCGGGGAGGGCAGGCTGGCTAGCGCAGAACTCCTTGCCCTAGACGCTGTACCTGGATGCCGTGGGCCACTTCCCTGAAGAGATGCAGGAGGTCCTGGACCTGATGACGGAGAAGGAGCTCCGGGTGCGCCTGCCCGTGGAGGAGTTGGAGCTTCTACTCGAGGACTAGAGACCAGGAGGTGTTCAACAGTCCCTGCCTTCAGGGCCTCGTCGCCTGCACTGCTGGAGCCGGGATGCAGCAGACGGGGCACGTGTAGGTGCATGTGTTCCAGGAGCTCTGCTTTCCAAGTCTAGCTTTAATTCTTAGTAATTTGTACCTGGGTCATCAGTTTCTTAGCTCTTGCACATTTTTTGGATGTGCAAATAACAGAAGCTATTGCTTACATATTATATATGTGAATGTGTAGGTAAGAATCCTGCCCCATGACAACGGAATCTCTCGTGGTTGGCGTGTTCGAGTGTGTTCTCTTCCTCTGCGGCCCCGGCCCCGCCGTGGCGAGTGCGTCCTGTTGGTTGGCCTTCTTGGCGGTCCTGCCAGGGTTTCTGGGTCTTGCAGTCATGATAGGAAAGGTTCGGTGACTCAACGCTAGAACCTCTTCCCAGGCTGGTTAGCAGGAGAGCAGATTTTGCTCTTCTCTTCAGGCCACAGCCCTGGAGTCCCTGAGAACTTGGTGTTCCGGCCTGTGTCAAGTGTAGGAAGCGTCTCGTGGTCCCTAAGCTCTTCTTGACGCCTCCCGGCTGTGGACCAGCAGCATCGCCTGGGCGCGCTGCAGCCTCGCACTTGGACAGGACCCCTGGAGACTTAGGAGCACCCAGGTGTGGGAGGGACCCCTGCTGCAGGGGGCACGCGGGCAGCCATCCGAGCGGAGCAGAATGGAGCGGCGGCCTCCTACCAGACCCTGCCCGCCCACGAGCCGGGCCCCGGACGCCCTCATGTGGGTGCAGCAGTGCCGCCCAGGACAGAGGCCTGCACTGGCCGCCGCCTTGATGTCTGAGGGTTGTGAATGGAATGAAATGTAAATACCCACATTCAGACCACTTTCTTCTGAAGAGAACATGGCTGCAGTTATTAACTGTTAGTATTTAACTAGGAGGAAATTGCTTTATCTTCTCTGAGCCCTGCTCTCAAACAAAACCACGATGCCTCTAACTGCTGAAGTTGTCGTTCTTTGGCAGCTCATCCAGAAAAGCCAGTGTCATGGAACAAAATTTTGGCTCAAAACAGCTGGAAAAGGAGGATGGCAAGTCAGAGCCCCCGAGGAAGGCGGCCGGCCAGCCAGCCAAGGGGACGCTTGCCGTGCCTGCCCGGCTCACTCCCCGGCTTGCACACGGACCTGCTCAGAAAGGAGAGAAGTGCCGGAAACAGATGGGGGAGGGAAGCTCTGACGTGGTTTTGAACACCCTGGAGACGGATGAGGTTTCTGAACCTGAGAACAAGGGATGCCAGGGCACGGGGGAGGGACGTCCGCCAGGGCCTCTGGAGAGTCCTAGTAGGAACCCCACTACTTTCCTGCCCCAGAGTGCTGAGAACCCACAGGCTCCAGACCTTCCAAAATGGAAAGCTGTTTCCTTCGGAAGCCAGAGCCATACTCTTCAACGGCAGAGCCCACTGGCTTTGGGGGACCTGCTTTCCCACTAGCTGCTGTCCAGCTCTGCCAGCCGCTCTGGGCATGTGAGGCAGGGCAAGAGGTGTTCAAGTTTGCATTCCCTGTCACCTCCCAGAAGCCTCCGTATGCCCAGGTCCACCTGCTTGTTGCTGCTGAGCGCCAGGTGTGGAGGCTCCAGAAACAGGAGTTTGAGAAGGAGCACGCTTTATTGGGGACAGAGCACTGCACGTGACCAACAGATGACTGCAGCCTCGGGGGCATCCTACACATCACCCTCAAAAAGGTACACAGGAGGTTTTGCTAATAAGAAAGATCAACTGGAACATGGGTTCCTCTGGGCAACTTCCCCAACCTCCCATCCCTTCAAGGGGTCAGGACAATCCTGATCATTTCCTTGAAGGCAGCTGTGGTCCGCTAGAGATACAGTCCTTCAGGGGTGCCTTCTTGTTTTTTATAAAGAACATTTTCTTTAGATTTCTTGAAGTCTTCATTTGTTACTTTCATTCTACGTTCTCTCAAGGCCATCAGACCAGCTTCTGTACAGATCGCCTGTAAGAAAGAACAGTATGTTCAGAAAGGGAAATACTTTTTATTAGTATTCTATCAATTCGAGAGCTACTTTGAAATAAGGTGTAAGTAAGACAGACTAAAAAGACTGCTTAAACTTTCTAATTACTTTCTCAGAGGACCTGAGGTGGCTTTGAGAAGGAGGACTGGCTCGCGTTGTAACCAGCGGGGTGGCCTGGCGGGGGAGTTTTCAATGCTCCACTCCTTAGAGAGAGCCACATTCCTTCCTGGGCACCAGATGCAATTATACCAGGACACTGAGAGGCAAGAGGGCATCCATCCAGTTCACTTACGCACAGTCAGAAGAGAACACGTATTCTGGCTAATTGTCTCAGGACAGTATTTACTGTGATAAATTTATTTTCTCAGTCATCACTTGCCAAAAGTAAAACAAAAACCCACTCAACATGATGTGACAGAAACACAATCCTGGCATTGAAGTTTCTATCTGGTTATGGCCCTCAGGATATTTCAAATGGTTCAGCAAAAAAAGTGTATTTGTGAACAAAAGATAAAGCAAAGCAGTAAAATGGTAACATTTGATAAATCAAGGTGATGGGTATATTGGTGTTTACTATTGTTGCAACTTTTCTGAAGACTTCAAATTTTTCAAAATAGAGTTGGTGCAGAATTTTAAAATGAAATTTCAATTTTATTAAGATTTTATTTATTTGACAGAGAGAGACAGAGAGAGAGGGAACATAAGCAGGGGGAGTGGGAGAGGGAGAAGCAGGCTTCCCGCGGAGCAGGGAGCCCGCCGCAGGGCTCGATCCCAGGACCCTGGGATCATGACCCGAGCCGAAGGCAGACGCTTAACGACTGAGCCACCCAGGAGCCCAAAATAATTTCAATTTTAAAAAGAGCTTTTACAGGGCGCCTAGGTGGCTCAGTCAGTTGGGCGTCTGCCTTCGGCTTGGGTCATGGTCTTGGGGTCCTGGGGTTGAGCCCCACATCGGGCTCCCTGCTTAGTGGGGAGTCTGCTTCTCCCTCTCCCTCTGCTCCCCCTACTTGTGCGCACGCACTTTCTGACAAATGAATGGAATCTTAAAAAAAAAAAGCTTTTACTCACCAACACAGACACTAACCTAGTTCTATAGAGGCCAAGGATACGCAGCTCAGTGCAGGTACCAGCGTGAAAAGGCCCCACGTGTGCTGTCCTGACCAGACCGTGGCGCTTACATGTGACAAAAACCCAGGTCGTCACCTACAGAGCAGGCTGGACCCGGGTTCAGTGCTGCGGGGCCTTGCACTTGCACACGCGCGCTCTCACACACATACGAAACTGAGAAGTACGACCCGACCCAGGTTCTCACCTTGATGTCGGCACCCGAGAGGTCATCTTTAGCCATGATCAAGTCGTCCAGGGTCACGTCATCGGCCAGTGTCATCCTGCTTGTGTGGATCTGAAAGATGCGCTTCTTAGTCTTTTCATCGGGCAGGGGGAACTCGATCTTCCTGTCAATGCGGCCTGCGGGTAGAAACAGTTTCCAGTCACAACCCCGCGCAGCCCCCAGGCTGGGCTCCGGGAGGGCCTGAGCCCATGTCCTCACTCATGCTGTTTCAGTCAGACAGCACCCTGTGGGAAGGGCAGCGGGGTCCAGATCCTGAAAAGTGAACATCCTTCCTGTAGTTTGTAAATGTCTACATCTGAATTCATCCCATTTAAAAGAAATCCTCTCTGCTCTGGTACCCTCAGAAATAAAGGAATGGCTCCTGAATGGCCTAGATAGTGGAAAAAGATCGTGTTAAAAACATTACAAAAGCGTAAACAAATGAGCTATTGCTGCTTCCTGGTGTGACCTGAATGTAAAAAAATGAACCTGAGTTATTTCCTTCAGAAAAAAGAATACTCATTATGGGAAAGAGAAAAGATCACAATTTAAGATTGGAATTAAAAGGGCCACGCTACACCCACTGCATCATGTCCTCACTTACCCACGACCTCGGGGGATGCTGTTTTTAGTAAGTTACACTGCACTTCAATCACGGATTTGCCTTGATACGTAGCATTCTTCAATCCCCTGCCCGTGTACTTAAACCCAGTCACACAGAAACACGGCAGCTGTCCCTGATGGCACAAGCAATCTGACCTGGTCTGATAAGGGCCGGATCCAAAGTCTCTATTCGGTTTGTGGCCATAATAACTTTCACGTCACCCCTTGAATCAAATCCATCCAACTGGTTCAGCAGTTCCAGCATCGTTCGCTGAATTTCTCTCTCACCACCAGAATTTGAGTCATATCTTTGAAAAAGAAGAGAAGGAGTGAAAACCTAACTGATCTGCTGAAGGGGAAATGACAGAAACGCCTCTGACTCAAATTCTGACGCCCCCAATTCTAGCAACAAAATCATGCCCTCCCAATTGCCAGATCATGTTGTTTAAATTGTAGAAGTTTTCATGCCTGAGATTATATCATTAGTTCAGTCTCCATGTTTGCTATCTGAGCCCCCAACCCTACCAGGAGCTCCTTAAGGGCAGAGGCTTGTGTACAGTGGCCGTGTCCCCGAAGTCTAGATGAGGCCTGGCTCTGCAAGGATGCTCGGGACACAGTTACAGACGAAACTCCAGGCAGTCACAACTCCTGGGTGGTGGTTACCTGGCACCTGGGAGAGCGGAGCCTAAAGCACCCAGAGCACCATGTATGGTAGGAACTGTAGCAAACCCACATGCAAGCCATACAGGGAGTACTCCATGATCATTCTCAGAGAGGAGCTCCGGGGTTTTTATCTCTGCTCAACACAAAGTAAGAGAGAGGTGTACCTTTTTGTTCCAATGGCATCAATTTCATCAATAAACACGATGGATGGTGCGTGTTCTTCTGCAACTCGAAACAATTCCCGAACGAGTTTGGGCCCATCACCTAGGTACTTCTGAATAAGTTCAGAGCCAACCACTCTCAAGAAAGTGGCTGAGGTTTGGTTTGCTACTGCTTTGGCTAATAAGGTTTTACCTATTTTATATTTAAAAAGAAAAAGAGGAAAAAAAAAACAAACCCTTAAGTGCTATTTTAACTTAAAAACTGTTACTTAAATGGGCATCAGAAGTGGGCAGATCCCTGTGACTGAAAAGGCATACCCCCATTCAGGGGTCTTAACATTCTCCAAGGCAGGTAAGAGAAAATTGAAGAAAAACCTAAACGTTTTGATTATTTTTAATTATCTTCCTAATTCTTCATTACAGTGTCAGAAAGTACATTTTACTGGGTTATTCAGAGTTGCATAGATTATTAACCTGACCCATGCAACAGGGTTAGAGATCCAAATTCAATTCTATGAAACTATCCGTGATGGGAAAATGGCCTGGGAACCCTAGGTCTGACCTAAGGAAACACATTCTGATCTGGAGCACCAGGCCGGCGATCCCTGAGGCTGAGAGTCACGGCTGTGCTGGGCGGGCTTGCCCAGGGCTCAGCTGAGACAGGACTAGCTCCCGATGAAGCCCACAACTGAGAACTGCTGAAAGCTCTAGAGACTTCTCAGTCTCCGGTGTGCTCTCGTGAGGATTGTTACTCTCAGGGACGAGCTCAAACTTTTCTAATCCTGCTCCATTCCTTGATATTTCTATTTCAGGTAAACAACTAGAGCTGTGGCAGCCACCCTGGGAACTTTAGGGCTGGAAGACCTTGACCCCTTTGATAGTGAGGACGTGGGCACAGGGCCAAGCAGTGGCATCAGGACACGGGCAGCTAGAGGCAGAGCCCATAAAGGACCAAGCTTAGGCCTGCAGGGGGGAGGGGGAGGAGGCTGCTGGTGAGTGACATAGAAGACTTAGTTCAAGTGGGAAGGAGGACAAGGCACTAAGCTTTGAAACAAAACGTGGCAGGAGGAGGGGTAGATGTGGGGGCTCAGAAGCATGGACTTCTCCCTGATACTACCAGTGAGAGGTGGTGAACGGAAGACGAAAAGGACCTCCTAAGCGGATGGCCTCTGAGTCCAGGAGCAGCCACGGCCAGCCGCTGGGACACTTCAGTAGCCGGCAGGATCACCGAGCCAGGCTCTTCCTCCTCCGGACGGCCTGTCACCCTGTGCCTCGCCCCGCATTGGCCCCTGGCAGTGCACGTGCACCAAAGGCGGCCCCCAGCTGCAGCTCCAGCCCCGCTATGTGCTCAACTCCCAGAGCTCCTGCGGCCTTGGGCTAGTCACTGG